GGTGCTTGGAATACAAGCAAGATTCAGAAATTCCAAAATGGAATTCATCAGTAAATTGAAGAATTGGAGACATGCTTGTCAGAAGAGCAATCAAAAGCAAGAAACAGCTTTCAAACATGGATCCTAAAAAGCACCACATTCAGTGTGAAAAAGTACTTCCAAAGAATCACCAATTTCCTAAAATATAAGCAATACAGCCACTGTTCCTGGGAAGCAGTCCAAATGGAATTGAGAACATGGCTTATAATTTTTGGCAGTCTTATGAGAAAACATGTCATAAAGAGGTAATATCTTCTATTTTAGGATTCTTTGTAAGAATCTGATGATTTTCCCCTTTTTGACACATTTTTAATTTCCACATTTTAATAATTTTCAATTTGATAATTTGGGCTTGTTTTAAAAAGCATTCAGTGCTTTAAGTTTAATTTGTAGCATTCTCAAGTGAAGGGGCACTTGATGTCACCACTTACGTAGAAGATAAGTTATTAAAAAAACAAGTGGATATTATTCCTTTGTATTCTCTCTTTACACTATAAAAAAAGTTTTGTAGCCTTTCCACAGAACATACCAATTGTTTTATGACCTGAAATTCTTATATTTGGACACTGCATAGATTTTACTTTTGTTTTATTAAAGCAGAAAAAAGTGTAAGACGCAGACACACACAAGGAAGACAGACCTTCCTAGAGTCCTGTGTGCTACAAAGATTTTAATTTATAAAACAGATGAGAATTTAACATGAATTGGACCTCTTTCAACTCAAAAATAATGATGGGAAGACCTCCTGAGCCAGAAAAGTCAATTGCCAGCTTTGATCCTTATTTTACAAGTGGACTTATCTCTATATCCTACGGGGACAGGAAACCCATCTTTCTATACAGCATATTCAATAATGATAGCATGGATTTTTAGGATATGTTGGTTCACAATGCTATATAAAATACGTATCTGTTCTATCTGCTTTGAGTTCATAAGCAGACAAGATAGATCTGCAAATATTTAGTATATGGACACAGATGCAAACAAACTTCTTCCACTCCTCTCCCACCTTCCTTTCCCTCATACAGGCAGAGCCAAGTAGTGCTTCAAGTCGTCACCTTCATCAGTTTAACTGCTACTCATGAGAGTTTGAATACCCTGGGTCCCAGTACCACTCCCTACGTATTAGAAGACTGCGTGAGTTCTGACATGGATTTTTTCCCACCTCAGATTTCTAAGCATATCTGATTCCTAAAATACGTTTATCATAAATGGAACATGTTGAATTGGAATGTAAGAGGAAAGAGTTAAAACACTTCTGTGACTCTATGGGACTGGGGAAGAAAAAGGGAATACCCTGAAAAGAAAAAATTCAATGTGCTGTTACCATTACCCAAGGACAGAATTTCAACATTTTGCCTCAGAAGCTTGAGGGCTGGACAGCAACTTCAGTCCCATGTCTTTTTTTTATTTGAATGGAATATATATCTCAAAATCCCTTCCCACTTGAGGGGAAAAAAAAAAAGGAAAACTAATTCTGCATGTAGTGATCTTAATGAAATGGTATTATTATTCCTGATTCCAGAAGTGCGACAACAGGATACTAATTTTAGGCATCTAAATTAGACATTGTGCTAAGGAGATCAGGCCCACCCACTTCACTCTCTCATGCTCCTATTTTACAGAAGCAGGGGAGGAGAGAATGGGTTTCAGACTCCTGAATATAAGTCTGCTCTCAATCACCAATGTAAGAGCCCAGTTCTTTAACTGGTATACGGAGAATAAGATCAATTTGGCACATAGTTAATGTTAAATTCTCAACTTCATTAATCAATCTTTGGAATCCCTGTTTTTTTAATTTAGACACTTTGCAACTGCGTCGACACCATAGTGACATTTGAAGGCAGCAAAGTACATTCAAGTACTTAATTCCAAAATTCTTTTTTTTTGGTGTGGTGATTTTTTTTTAAATTTGATACTTGTAATGTGTGGAGAATTAATATAGTCCGATTTTAAATACCCAGCTTAAGGAAGCTGATGAACAGAAGCCCATGAACTTCAGGTTTTCCCATGCATGATGCATCATGCAAGATGATATCAAGTTGTATCTATGTACCTATATCTATGCTGGACACACTTGTCTTGGCTCAAATCTGTGCTTCATTTTCAATCTCTGAAAAGCCAAGAGTCAGCACAGACTTCAGCAGATGTGACTGAACACAACCTTACACATCCTACTAGGTTCCACCAGTTCTTCATGGGACCACAGTTTATTTTGATCAGGTAATGACAGCATCATGAGCAAAAACCCACCCTTGGACAGCACAGAAACATTCACTTCCTTCATCTGCTCTTCTGGGGAGGTACTGTCATGAATCTAAAGCAGATATGCCTATTAACTCATGCATGTTTTATTGTCAATTGTGACTCACATTTCAAGATGCAGGGTTTTTTTTTCAAAGGGGAAATAGAGAGGTTGTAAAGCCATACACTCATTAGGTGATAACTTGGGGTATTCAGGCGAGTTTAACTGACTAGTGTAGCTAAGCATTTATACAAAACCAGTGTTTAAGAACTGCCTGTGCTAGCTTTCTGCAAAAAGTTTGCTTTTACAAGTTAAAGTAATTATATCTTAGGGAAGAGAAAAGAAGTTACTGTAGACAATACTATTTTCACATTTCTTGTCTGGAATTCAGTGTTAACTGTCAATGAGTACACATACGCAACTTTCTATTCCTGTGGAAAGAGTTGCACTGTCTGAGTATGGTCTTCTACTATTTGAAGGCAAATAACATTAAATCTTGACTTTTCCCCTTACAGGAGTATTTAGAAATTAAGTACTGCACTCTTCTATGAAAAATTCTAGACTACTGATGTTACATGTAACTTATACAATTACACTTTTTGTAACTTTTGTAACTTTTTGTGATACTGTAACTGGAGACTCAAACAACCAAAACCATGTCTATTTGTTCAAGTTTTTTTAGACTGTTGTTTTTGATACCACTGTGGACACACAATTTCAACATCTACTTTATCAAGCAGTGTATTACCATGTCAGTGGATACTTCCATATGAGAACAAATGGAAAAAAGACACTGAAATGAGAAAGCAAAAATGGTATTCTAAGACTTAGAATTACAGATTCAAAGTCACTTAAAATTTCTTTTAAGAAAAAATTTTACTACATTTCAAGATCTTCTAACTGAATGGTTTCTTGACTATTTTCCTGTGTAAAAGAAGAAAAAGTGGAAGTCCATATTGTTCAGGAAAGTGCCATCTCAAATGTTCACTGCTAGCATTTGTACAATGTTGTACTGCCCAATGAAAGGTTGGATTACTTTGAAATATAGAGAGTTGTGAGATGGAAAGACAAACTGCAGTTCTCCCAAGATTTAGAGCTGGAGTAAGGAATGCATGACCAAAGGGTGAGAAATAAAATAGAACTTCATTTCTTACAGCCCTCAGCCACACTTTTTTGGTTTCAGCACACTGAGTACCACCCAGTCAAGGGCTGGTGTCAAGCCTCCCCAACCTGTTTTAAATGCCTATTCAGGACTCCCTCCAGTTCATGATTTAGACCCTGCACTCAACTATCTGCTAGCATTTGTTTTAAAACTTCAGAGCTGCATAATTATGATAGATATATTTTGATGTTTTTGTACTCCCAAATGGTAATAAGTGTAAAATTACAAAAACAAAAATTCCACACCAATGCTCACTACAGTGGGGAAAGACTTGTTCTTAAGATGGGAGAGGTCCTCTGTTAGCAAGTACCTGGATATGCTGCACGTTACCAGCCACAGAATTTGCTACAGTCTTTCTGGATTAAAAACCTGCATCTTTTGATACCATGAGGGTATGTTCAATTTTCACACTAAAACAGAAAATAATTTTTTGCGGATTGTATTGGTGTGGTAAGGAAATGCCCTCAGCAGCAAAACCAGCAGATATTTTACATTAAATCTGAACATAGATTTCCTAGATTAAATAGATCTTGGAAAGTCTTGACTGAAGACCCTCCTGCTTCTTAAAGTGTATTCCCACGAAGCTATTTAATTAACCTAAGTCCCTTTTTATCTTTTTGGGGTAAATCAAACTAAAGTTATGGATCACAAGACAGGATGAGTCAATCTTACACCCTCTCTTCTTCCCTTCCCCATTTTTCAACCCCACATTCTTGTCCTGCTCTAACACTTGTTGAATCTTTTCCTGAGCTCACCAGACCAACATGAAATTATCCAAACAAAACAAACAAAATCCATACTTTTGTTTCAAGGTAAAGATTTAAAGTAAAGCAGGGAAGAACACCAACTGCATATGAGAACCAGCACAAAAAAGAAGGGGAATTGTGGCAAGAAGACTGTGTAACAACCACAGGAGAACAGTGAGAAAAACCCCCTCTTCTGTCTTTTATCTGGTCCAAACTCCTTCAAAAGAGCCCCTCAGTTACTCTGTGTACAACTCACTATTAGATCTTCAGCAATATCCACAGTTCACTGGTAAGCCTTTTTCCTTTAATGTACTAATATGCTAATTACTCATCACCAAAGAAGTAGTGATTACTGCAGAAGTAAACTGGTAATCTCTCTGAAGTAAATTGCATAGTAGTTAGCATTAAAATTCCAGTAACATCTTACTCATTTCAGCTTTCTGTCTCCATCCTGGCATACTGGCATCCATGCCATCCTGGCATCCTAGCTTGTATCAAGAACAGTGTGGCCAGCAGGTCTAGGGAAGTTATTTTCTCCCTGTACTCTGCACTGGTGAGGCCGCACCTCCAGTACTGTGTTCAGGAAAGACACTGAGGTGCTGGAGTGTGTCTAGAGAAGGGCAACAAAGTTGGCAGAGGGTCTGGACGGTAAGTCTTATGAGGAGCGGCTGAGGGAGCTGGGGTTGTTTAGCCTGGAGAAGAAGAGGCTGAGGGGAGACCTGATCCCTCTCTACAACTACCTGAAAGGAGGGCATAGCGAGGTAGGGGTTGGCTTCTTCTCACAGGCAAGTAGTGACAGGACAAGAGGACATAGTCTGAAACTGCACCAACTGAGGTTCAGGTTAGACATTAGGAGGCATTTCTTCACAGAAAGGGTCGTTAGGCATTGGAATGGGCTGCTCAGGGAGGTGGTGGAGTCACCATCCCTGGAGGTGTTTAAGACTGGACGCAGCACTTAGTGTCTACTTGACATGGTGGTGTTAGGGCAAAGGTTGGACTCCATGATCCCAGAGGTCTCTTCCAATCAATTAGATTCTGTGATCTTACCTGCACAGGCCTAAGTCCCTGGCTCTGAAGAGGCTCACAAGACTCCTATCTGTAAAAGGTACTACTGAAGCACCTAATCCTGAGATAATATCCTAAAACAGAAAAATGAAAATATCATTCTGTTTTGTCTATAAACTATTCTGAGATCTCAGTTTACCTAACTCATGATAAAGACTGAATATTAAACAAAGAACAGGACCATGGTTTTGCTGTAACATTTTTAAACAATGGCTATTCCAAACGACTCTGTGATCTGCGTTCCCAGGGCACTTGGCCCTCACTGCTTCTCTTAGTTTCTGTTCCAGAACATGAGTACCTTCCTCAGGGATCTCAAATGATGCTGAGTACTTTGCTGGCAGTTGATAAAGAAACATTTATTTTGAGAGAAATATCAGCAAAGGAGCTGAAGTGATTTGGTCCAGTATCAAGTTTCACATCACTCACTATGCTCTCTAAGCAGCACCAGCTACGACACCAACACTGCGGCAAACAGCATTAAATCATCATTTCAAGCTGCTTGATGCCAAACAACATCACGCTATTCTGCATCCCTCTCTTTTTTGCTCTTTAGCACCTTCTGGACCTCAGTATTGCTTGACTGTACCCTACCTACCTTGACGTGCGGAAACAAACTCTACAACTCGCGGGGAGTTATAAAGCAGGCATGTTTACTTCGGCACCGGGTGCAAGGAGGATCACTCCTCCAAACTTGCACACCGAGTAAATGAAGATACATATTATATACCTTGAAACATTTACATATTCATAGTTCACTACATATTCATTGTTATTCACACTTAGGATTGGTTATAAGTTTCTCGCTTCTAATGTAAATTAGTACGCATTCTCAGTAAGCACTAATGAAGCCTCTCTATTAACTGCGCATGCTCCCCAAGCGGGGTTTTGCCCTCTTTCGGGGGGGCCATTTGAGTTGGAG